ACCGTATGCAGGTAGAGAACAAAGGAATATGCAGCTTTTATTCTCTTCACCCTACTCCTCCTAGTCCACTCCTTGTCAATCACGTACCGACGATTCCACAGTTTTTTAGAGCCCAATGTAGTTGAGAAGCAGTCTACAGAAATGGACTCGAGCTGAGATTTACACTGCTTACAGTTTAATTGATTCTTCTAGACTTTAAAATATAACAAATGAAATAATAGGCCTGTCAACTTTTCCTAGGCAGTGAATGCTTATAGGAAATTAAAGTTCTTGTTATTTGACAAAATGTTCAAGATAAATGTGATAAATGTTATGCGAACAATTTCTTATGTAACTCTACTTATAACTCTTATTACTTTATGTAAATTTAACCAACAAGTCAGCGTTTTCAGTCGCACTATATACAAAGCTAACTGTAAACATGCACAGCGTTCAAGAAAAATTCAAATATGCTGTTTATGCTCTTAAAGAAGAACCACTAAATGGTACCAAGATCCTATTTTGTGGGTGTGCCGTAAAATTTTTTTTACCCTGAAGAGGAACCAATTCCAAAAACAACATATTAACTGACACTTTCGTAATTTTTAATGGGGTTAAAGACGATTGCTTCAAGTACTTTCTACTCGTAAAGTTGATTATCAAATACGTACCGTAAAAGCTACTGCAGAAACTCCAGCTGCGGAACTCATGTGGGTAGCTGAACACCCTAAGAGGCTCGAAACCGCTCGTTTATATAACCGCTACAAGGTAGAAGAGCACACCGGTCCTTTTTATATAGGAGTTCCCTTAATGCTTGATAAAATCTCAAATAACAGAGCTCTTTAACTTTGTAAAAAGAAGGTCTGGTATATGCAAATACTAACAATACCTAGATTGTATGCATGAAACTTGTTCAGAAATGTACCAATTGCATGTTGTTACTCACATTGTTTTAAAATCCTACTTCTTCAATTAAGTTAGTTTTACAATTGCTGCTAAGTGTAAAAACTTTCCAAGTACAATAATTTTAAAAACTTTAATAAGTCTCGCTGGCAAAACATTAGGTTAATAAGTGAAGCCTACTCCTTATTTCTCCTCGGAGCAAAGACCAGAGCAATTTCTGTCATAGTCTAAAGACCGATACCAAAAGTTACTTTATGAACCGAAGTTTTTCTAAGGTTTTACTGGTTCAAGCAGTTATTACAGCTCAACGCTCAGCTGGCACTGCAGACTCCGATTAAGTTTCAAAAATGTTTTTGCTAGAATACCTAGTAACCTAAAGAGAAATGAGGAATCTTTTAGACAGAAAAGGACCAAAAGTTAAACGTCCATTTAATTTATAGCACTACCACTAAAACTGTCAATTGAGGTCATGGCATATTTTACTTCTCACACAATCACTCGCTGCCGTCCTGATCATTCTTTCCAACACCTGACAGAGAAAATAAACAAACCAAAAAAAAATAGTAACCATCTAAATACATTTTCTTAAAAAGCAGTTGCCTAATTACAAAATATAGATTCATTTTAACAAATAAGTCGGATTCATGGCTGTGGCTTGTTAAAAGGTAAACTTCTGCTGGAACCGTGCACAGTTTCAGAATAGAGTTTTGGACGCGTTGGAAGGAAGGTGGACCATGCAAAACAGCCAACGTGATCCATTTGTCTTTCACAACAACATTGAAAATTCATTGGAGAATATACAGAACATAATTTCATCACCAAATCCAGCGCAGAAAAAGTGAGATGTCAAAATGCGAGAAAGTCAAGATGCCAAAAATTCGCAATTTTTCAGATCTCCGCAGTTTTCATGTGGTCACTGACCCTCGAAATACGAGCGCGTTTTTTAATTCGTTCAAAAACTACGTTAAAGTTTCGTCACCCTCATGATCGACAGAGTACGTTATCAGTTGTAAAATATATTAGAGGCACAAGATCAAATGACAACTGAACGATAAAGAAATAATCAGATATACAAAAACCTAACCCTCTTTTGATATTACAAAACGTTTGATCGATGACATCTAAGGAAACTGTGAGTAAATACCAGGAGCCCTTTGAAAAGATATGGAAGCGCGTGTTTTCATTAAATCTTACCATTCGTTCCAAAATCAAATGTCACGTCATCTCCAATCAGTATAAAAGGTGACCACTGGTTCACGTCATAGCCATTACTTCTCATCCACTTCATGGCCTCGTGTAGAGATTCACCAGCACTTTCCCCAGCAACAAGGTGATCGTAGAAATGGGTCATTAACTGCTCTGTTGCTTTGTCATCCAGGGCCCACAGTGCCACCAACACTGAACGTGCGCCAGATCCTAATAATGCCCGGGAAATTCCGACTGCTCCCTCGGCTTTTGTCTGTCCTCGAGCACTGTGGCAACAGCTAAGGACTACAAGTTTAGCCCGCAGTTGAACGTTTGAAATGTCCGTCATTGTCAATAAGTACAGTTCCTCTTGAGGTATCCCGTTAGGAATACGAAAAGATGGCGCAAGGGCAATTTCTCCTCTTTCTGCATCACCGTGTGCGGCGATATGAATCAGAGCCACTGAACTCATCGCTTGAAGTACTGCCTCTTTAGTCGCTTGCTGTCCTAACAGAGGCTCGACACCCAGCTTTTTTGCTATCATCCTAGTTTCGGTTTCTGCATATGGCAGTCGCGAAATTTTCGTGAGTCTTCCTTTGAAATGCACTTCACCAACATCAGGATTTCCCACTATCAACGCACCGGTCTGATAGTGATAGTCTGCTGGACTTTCAGTAATGAGCTTGAGAGTTGTTAAAGAAGGAACAATACGGATCCTGAAAGTCTCGGATAAGTACTTTCCTCTTTCAGTTAAGGCAGCAAATGGAATTCGGTATAAAGCACGGTCAGGAACAATAATGATTTCGGGACCCTCAAGAAAGTCCACCACTGGAGCGATGATAAGTTTGTAACAGATAGGAAGGTTCATTTTGGGTCCTTGGTTAGCTTTAGTTTCCACTCCAATTCGCCAAACTTCACGGCTATCTCCCTCGCTTGATTTGGATTCTGGTTGAAAAACGTGTAACGATCCGTCTTCACAAATCTCGTCTGGTAAAACGCCAAAACTTCTGAAATCAAAAAACTCTTCCACTCGTTGACTTAATCCTTCGCTAGCAATTAGATCATTTCCTTTTATCTCCTGAAAATGTGTAGCTCCACCTGCTTTAAGAATCCACAAATATATACTTTCAGAATGATACGAGAGGTAGAGACAGCTGCGGTTACATTCTTTGGCCACGATGCTTTCAAGACCAGCCCATGTGCGAGGATCAGTCGAGATTTGATTCTTCAAAGAGTGCTGCGAGTACTGAGCTGACATTAAATCTACCAAAGCCCTGGCCCTTGAAAGCTCTGAAACGTACAGAGATTTAATATGATTCCCGGTTGCACAAAGCAGCATAGTGAGATCTCTGTAGGAATGAATATTGCGGTCAGAGAAAGAAATCTTTAATTTATCGTTGTCTTGGAGAGAGCCGCGCATTTCCTCGCATTTTTCAATACCAGAAAGGAAATACGAGATAACTTCCTCAATCTTTCCTTCTTTCATTCTAATGTGTGCCATCATTTCGAGCGATTGGAACTGCAAATCGATATGTCCAATCTTCTCACTTAATGCAAGCGCCTCCTTGATATATTCTTCCCCTCTATCATATTCAGACTGCTTATAAAAGAAACGTCCAAGCGACAAGTATCCAGTTGCTTCTTTTTTCCTGTCTCCAATTTCTTTGCTTATTGCAAGACCTTGTTCATAATATTCTTTTGCCTTGATAGAGTTACCCACAGCTAGCTCTACATTTCCTTGGTTCAGGTAAAAGCTGGCCACCCCTTCTTTCAGCCCAATGTCTGTGAAGATGACCAGACTTTTCTTATTATATTCATTAGCCTTGCTAAACTTTCCAAGAGAGTAAAGTTGAACACCTGCATTTAGGTAAGACAAAGCTTCTTTATATCTGTCTCCAATTTCTCTGCTGATGGACAAGGATTTTTCATTGTAGTGTGAGCCCGTCTCATATTCGCCAACTTTCTCATACAGAGTTCCAAGGCATGCGTATGAGTTAGCTTCTCCACTTCTGTCTCCAATTTCTTTACTGATCAAAAGGGACTTCTCGAGATGTTCTCTAGCCTTCTCATATTCTCCAACTGATTGATACAAGGTTCCAAGGCTTCCGTAACAGGTCGCTTCTCCATTTCTGTCTCCAATTTGTTTAAGGTTCGCAAGTGATTTCTCGATATGTTCTCTAACCTTCTCATATTCTCCAACTGATTGATACACGGCTCCAAGGTTTGTGTAACAGGCAGCTTCTCCATTTCTGTCTCCAATTTCTTTCCTGATCGCAAGTGATTTCTCGAGATGTTCTCTAGCCTTCTCGTATTCTCCAACTACTAGATACACGGTTCCAAGGTTTCCGTAACAGGTCGCTTCTCCATTTCTGTCTCCAATTTGTTTAAGGATCGCAAGTGATTTCTCGAGATGTTCTCTGGCCTTCTCGTATTCTCCAACTGATTGATACACAGTTCCAAGGTTTACGTAACAGGTCGCTTCTCCATTTCTGTCTCCAATTTCTTTCTTGATCGCAAGTGATTTCTCGAGATGTTCTCTAGCCTTCTCATATTCTCCAACTGATTGATACACGGTTCCAAGGTTTTCGTAACAGGTAGCTTCTCCATTTCTGTCTCCAATTTCTTTCCCGATCGCAAGTGATTTCTCGTGATGTTCTCTAGCCTTCTCGTATTCTCCAACTGATTGATACACGACTCCAAGGTTTGTGTAACAGGCAGCTTCTCCATTTCTGTCTCCAATTTCTTTCCAGATCGCAAGTGATTTCTCGAGATGTTCTCTAGCGTTCTCATATTCTCCAACTGATTTATACACGACTCCGAGGTTTGTGTAACAGGCAGCTTCTCCATTTCTGTCTCCAATTTGCTGAAGGGTCGCAAGTGATTTCTCGTGATGTTCTCTAGCGTTCTCATATTCTCCAACTGATTGATACACGACTCCAAGGTCTGTGTAACAGGTGGCTTCTCCTTTTTTGTCTCCAATTTCTTTCCGGATCGCAAGTGACTTCTCGAGATGTTCTCTAGCCTTCTCATATTCTTTAACTGATTGATACACGACTCCAAGGTCTGTGTAACAGGTGGCTTCTCCATTTCTGTCTCCAATTTCTTTCCTGATCGCAAGTGACTTCTCGAGATGTTCTCTAGCCTTCTCATATTCTCCAACTGATTGATACACGACTCCAAGGTTTGTGTAACAGACAGCTTCTCTTTCTCTGTTTCCAATTTCTTTACTGACTAGGAGCGCTTTTTTATTGAGTTGTTTTGCCTTTTTGTAGTTACTTTGACAGAGATACATCCACCCAACTGTTGTGCTTAGGTTCATTTCCTTAAGTCTTTCACCACTTTCACGGTAAATTAGGAGAAGTTTCTCTGCATATTTTATGGCCCTTGTATTATCGCATATGCGATTACAAGCCTTCCACATTAGTAAGTATATCCTCTTGTAGAATGACTTGCTTAATTTCTCGTCTTTTATGCCTGCTCTGTCTTTCAGAATGAACAAACATTCCTTGCATAACTCGATGGCTTTTAGAAATCGACTAGTGTTGAGAAGGAAGACGGCGACCATGAGGCCGATTGAGATGACTTGTATAACGTCGTCTACGTTGTTCATGTCAAACACTTCTGTGAGGATATAACAGAATAAAAGTGGAAACAAATTTGGACCCAATTTTGTTTGCCCTTTTGTTATTGGCGGAATTGATATTTTTGTAGCTTGATCACGATCAGAAACTGAATCCCTGTTGCTAATGAAGCAAATTGATTGTAAACAAAGATTCCACCATACTATGGCCTCCTGGGAAAGTATAGCGCTACTCAAAGAATGTAACGAGGGGCGTAATTGATTTATTTACATGCCGAGACTATCTCAGCGTTTGCAGTCGTGGCTTAATGCATCTGCTGAGTTAGAAGTGGACATTTTTGAGGACGCAATAGTTTTCATAAAAAATAATTATTCAGCCCTTCGCTTTTCAAAATCTGCTCTGAAAAAAAAGCTCTCATAAACTTAAGAAATATTTTCCTCTTTGTAAGTTAGAAAGGAAGTCTTGAGCTCGAGTTAATTCGTCGCAGGAATTTTTACGACGTATTCTACATTACGTTTTGGTTTAAAAGCGTGATGATACCTTAAATGTTAAGTTCTGGAAACTGAAATTCATCCTAAAATCCAAATTATTCTACGTTCCACATTGCTCCGATAAAAACACGGGTTTGTTATTTTGACTGGAGTCTTCTTAGTACACAATAACACTATAAATTTAATACTGTACGTGGAAAAAGACCAAAAATTGATGAAGACGTTTCCAACACTGACTATGTCTACTCTGACATGCGCATAATTAAACGGTCAACAATCTGTTATCGAACTCCCACTGCCTTGAAAAGGAAGAATTGTTAGCGTAAGGTGAAACAGGACTGTCATATTTTTGTCTTCAGATGTTGTTAGCAGGAAAACATAATCAGCGACCTGAACAAATCTTTTGCTACTGTTAAGGTCGTTTTGATTGACAAACCACCAATAACATATTTAACTATAAATAACATACTAAACTTACCAGTTCCCTTTCGTTCAGGGGAAAGAATACAAAATCGACTACAGTCTCTTTTACGAGAGGATGGCTTTGTTTGTCTACAGGTTAACATAAAAAAACTATCACAAGTTTATTCAAGACGCGTGTTTCTACTATAGGTCCCTGTTTTACCTTGAAATTAAACCCTGTTGATATAGAAGAACAATTTCGTAGTTTAGTGGGGGACTTAATAGGTACAAAATTGAGATGTACTGACGACCCCTTAAGAAATGAAAGTTTCAGACCAAGATAGAGAAACATGCCTTAAATTTCACAAAGAAACATAAACAAACAAAACTGCAATTTACCCACCAAGATAAGCTTAAGAAAACTGAAAGCCCCAGATCTAAAGGAACACGCTAAACTGAAAGTCTTGATCACAGACATAGATAGACGCACAACTTACTATTCACAGACAAAAATAACACGGAAATCTGAAAGTTGCAGACTAAACGCACAAAACTGTAGGCCTCATACGAAGACAAACACATGTAGCTGCCAGTCAGAGGCTGACAGACGTGCAAAACTGACAGTCACCAACAAAATGAACACAAGCCAAGAAAACCAAGGACGAAGATCAGCGTCCATGAAACTGAAAGTCACCGAGGATTCCGGTCAATCCCTTCTAAAGCATGATGATATTCTGCGCTGTAGTTTGCATTTATACTTTTATACATGTACATCCATATTTCTGCATTCTAAATTAATTCAAACCTAATACGTAGAGTCATAAAAACATGGCTTAAACTTACCCTTGTAACTGTCTCTAGTGATGTGCGAATCAGAACGAAATCCAACTTCTACTACGTCATCAACAAGGCTCTTTCCCTGAGAAGGACAATGATACATTAGTCCTTGATTTTAATGACTGTAAAAATATTTTTAATGTACAGTAAACATGCCAAACGAGGGCATCAAATAGACGATATCTTATGACTAGCCTTAAGTTTACTGTTCTTACCGTTACTTGGGGAGTCAAAATCAGAATGAAATCCAATTCAGTCTGGATCAGCAAAAGGATTTCCTATGATAGAACAATGAATTACTGGGGCGTTCAAAGCTTCTCAATGAAAAATAACAACATTAAAAACAAAGAATAACTGGTTGGGGTTAGTTATACGAAGGCACTCTGAATTCTTTACTTTATACTACTTTTGCCGGCAATTTCATCACAACCTTTTTTTATTATATTGTTTTGGTAGAACCTTTTCTAGTATATAGCGTTTCGTCAACAAATACTACCTTCTATTCTTTACAGCCTTAATTTAAAATTGCTACTAGGGCCAGAGAACTTTAAATGAACTGTTATGGTCTGGAACTCTTAACAAACGACTTAAAAACTTGTGACAATTTTTAAGAAAATCTTGAAATAAAAGGGTTTAAAAAGGTATTGAAATCTTAACTATTCCCTTTTACTGAACGTTTAACGTTGTAATCTTAATTGTAAAAGTTTTCTCCTCCTTTTAAAGCTTATTGTTCACATCAAAAGTCGCACTCGGGAGGTTCATTAAAACGTTCAGTAGGTATGTAAAAATAAAGGTAGATTCGGCGATGAGGATACTTACCAAAAACGAGGTCTGCTAGAATATTGTTACAGGCAACCTGAATCACCACTATTTCCCTTTCGCAGTGTGAAGGAAAAAAATTAACAGCAAGAACCGTGTATAAGCTTGTCAGAAGACAAAAGGGAATTCGTCTGCAAGATAACAGAAGAATCATTACAGCCTTGTTCGTATATTCTATTCCATGCTTTAACTGACACCAAGATACTGAACTATAAAATGAACAGCTTTCTGAGAACGAAGTTCAAATCACTTTGATTGTTGCGATCGGTAGACATTGATCATTTTACTTAAATATATTCGATCTGTAGGTTTTTGTTCACTGAATTTTCGGTGGCATCTGTCTACCTTCATCATAGTAGAAAAGTAGCTATTCGTTAAAACGTAATTCGCGTTTTAAACTAAGAAATTATTCAAGTCCAAATCCCTCATTTTTTATTGGTAACTTCAGAGACTCAAAGATACGTTTTTCGTTCAGCGGCCACCCATCTTATGATCATCAATTTACTGAGGTTTTTACTTTTCTCTTCCAGTACATATGTTTTGCTTCAGCTTTATGTCATCTGATGGCAAGGTTTAACACGCTTAACGCCTCAATATCTATTAGCCAGTGAACTTCACAAGTTTATATTTCTCAGTGGCCAATGTAATTTCTAAATTTGTCATTTATTTCTGTGTTTATCTAATATTATAGTTTATCTTACAGATAAAACAGTTAGTTGTTAGTTCTTTAGTTCAAAATTGAAGGCAATCTTACTGTACACTACTTACCGCTCGATGAGACATTTAAATCAGAATGAAATTCAAATTTCTAGCCTCTAGCAGCTAAACAGGGTCTTCTTCAAAATAACAATGACGCGAGAGTTAGCAGACTTTCGAACCGTGGGATACGCTTTCGATTTCGACTGGCCACGGATATATAGATATATAGAACATGTATCAAATTAAAGAAACAGGGCGAGTAGCTATCTAATATTTGCAGCCCGCAGTAGCTATAGTGAAATTTGTAATTCCATATTTAGCATATCCAGCCCTATCGCTTATTTTGTGGCATTTAACACAGTCTTATTTTGCCGTATTATAGCATCTGTCATTGCTACACTTTTGACACGTTTCATTTTTCCCTAGTGTTTCAGTTTTCATTCGCAATTTAAGTCACAATTACACATCCAGTTTAGGTACATGTTTGTTTTCTGAACACACAAGCATGACTCAGTGTGTAAAATTTTAACCACTTCCTTTCGTCTGTGTTGTCGACGGCTAAAGAAATGTGCGGTGAGTTACCGAGTAAAACGACAATGATATTGCGCTCATGATCAGCATTAACGAAGTCTTTCGTTCAGATAAACCTATTCCGTTAAAAATCTGTTCCTCAGAGGAAGTTCCACTGACCGGGTGACCTAGCCTTAACCCTATAAATGGGTTTCCTAGAGGGATTAATTGCCAGCTGAATTTGATTTTTTTTTCCTGATCTCGTGACAGGTAACCAGCTCTGTGAATCAGGTTTCCACCCCCCATGCTTCGCCTTCCCCCACCACTCCCCACCGCCCCCTCCCTACACACACACATGGCACTCCCAAACGTGAGTTACCTCTGTGACCACACCCAGCCGCCCAAGTATTGGGTGTAGATTAAAGTGCGTGTTAATCATCAGAGAACATATTTTTCATCTCGGATACCCACGGGAGAAAGAAAAAAAAAACGCACACGTATAAGGCGGGACGTACAACGTAATACAGAGCAACGAGGACGATGACACCAAGAACAGCGCCTAGTCAGAAAAAAATGAATTTACTTTTTACTTGATTGCTAAGAATCTCGCAATTAGCGAGATCTCTGATCTTCAGTGCGTCTATGGGTTTAAGCTCCCGCTGAATATGCAAAGAAAGCGTTCAACTACAAATAGAAACAGAAAAAAATTAGCCCCCGTGGTTCACTTTCAAGCTACAAAGCACCCTGCATTTGGTTTAATTTTACTTAGTTCTTATTAACTGAGCAGGAGGTCTGTATGGGAGAATCTTAATCGAGGTCGTGACTAAAGACCGAATGCAGTGAGGTTCGTACGTAAAGTTAACTCAGATACGTCACGTTATTCTCAGAAGTTGTTTGTAGTGCCACAAGAGCTGGTCTGGCATTTATCTTTTCTTATTATTTGGAATGAGCGGTACGGTTTCATAGTTTTCTTTTTTTTCCGTGAGCACTGGTAGCAACTTGAATTAATCCTGTGACCATGTAATATAGGTTTCTAAAGACCATCTGCAGAGGGGAATTCCCCGTACAAATTAAATGAGCAAGTTACGCTTCGTTTTTGGTGATAAGGTAATAAACAAAAACGGAGGGATTCCCCCGAATGAACTTACGTCATCGTCTATTCGTGTGACTTTCTCAAATCTAACGAAGTGAGTTCCATTTTAACCGATTACAATGAGAGAGGTCTGGATAAGGGTGCTGAAATCTTTGCTCGATTTCTGGCGATTTCTCATCAGCCATCAGGTATCGATTTCTCTCAGGTATCAGTAAGCTTTGCAGATTCCAGATCTCAGCTACAAGTTAAAAAACGCTACATTTCTCCGCTGACGGTTGAAATTTTGAACCATATTCAGACCTGCCGAGAAACATAATTTCGCAGTTTATTTCCGAATACTCTCTGTTTTACTGATCTT